ACACTCATAGGCATTGAGACTTTCCCCAAATTCCCACTTTGTAAAGCACTGATCAGAACAGGTACCCTTCACGTCAATATTGCACTCCACGACATCATAGGAAACTTTGATGTTAAGTGTAATAAGAGCAGCTGTCTATGGACAGGAAAATTTCACAAGCACGAGCAGCACTTAAAAACGTGTGGAAAATTTCAAATGCCGTGTGCCAATGATGGGTGCAGAGAGGTGGTGACAAGGGAGAGGATGGCAGCACACACTGTGCAATGTACAAAGCACAAGCTCCCTTGCCAGCAATGCGGTAGAAAAATAACAAGGGAATCTTTCAAGGAGCATACGGCTTCCCTTTGCTCTAATAAGAGAGTACTATGCCCACTAAGCTGTGGAACAAGCCTTCCACAGTAAGATATTGTCGGTTTAATTAAGAAATCAACTGTTAATGAATATTTAAGGCCAATAAAATATCCAAAAGTTGCACTAGCCAGCTCATCCCTGGTCAAAATTGATTATTTTGCAGGCTCCACTTAACACTGCATTTAAGTGAGTGCCCAGAAAGAGCGCTCCACTGTGCAGTGACTGGTTGCATTGCCATCACAAAGCAGAAGAAAGTGCCACAGCACTCGACAAATAGAGCCGCCACCCACAGTGTTCTGCAGGAAGGAGAAATCCAGCGTCTGCGGGACCTGATGCATTTCCAGGTGAGATGCTTGAATTATATAAATAATCAGAAAAGATATCATATGAACATGAACTGAACATTCGGTTTCATTTCAGAGAACCAAACCAAGATGGATTTTGGAAGGAAGAGTGGTGTTCTCCTTCCACTGGAGGGGAGAGAAATGGAGTAAAGTCAAGGGGCCACATCTATTCAGCAATGAGTACAGGTGCCCAAATGGGAACAGTTGGAGGGCGCATCTACAATTTGCGGGACTCTCCTTGGAGCTGGTGTCCATAGTGATGGCAGTGGTAGTGGGAACGAGGTTAGGGACTCATTTTTACTATTAAGGATAGACTCTCACTCTTGACTCTGGAACGCAGTACAGAGGATTAATGATTGTTGCTGATAAGCCAGAGTACTTCCATACCGCTGACGTATTTTATGACGAATATCGTAATTTTTCCATATATCAGTAGGGAAATCTAAAACCATGTCTCCCAACCTAAAAACTGTTAAAAAGAAATCAACTTTATCGTGATTCACCACAGATCATTAATGACTTTACACTCTATGTCTACTGAATAGTACTGATACCTGATTCCTGCGAGGAGAAGGTTTTCCCTTTCCTGGCAAAGGAGATAAGGGAGGGGGAAGTAGCAGCAAATACCCCGCTCTGTGAACGGGATCACATGGATCCAGAAAACATTATGATTGTCAAGTTTGTCTTGACATATTATCTTTTAAAAGAAGACAAGTAATTTTCCATTTATTAATTAGGAAAGGTAACGAGGTGGCAAACGATAACGCAGAAAATGGAAATCGTTTATGCACTAAAACAGAAGTCAATGCGATAAGCACAGGACAAACCGACATGAAATTTAAAGTATTTTTGAATGGAAAACACTTTTAGCACTTTTTCATTGAGATCTTCCGCTTTTTTTGCTGCATGTAATACCTCTCTTGGCTCTTATCTGGAACATTACTTAACTGGAAAAGTTCTCTACACGCAGTTAAGATAGAAGCATGCCGGTGATGTCAAAGACTTACTGGTGAGAGAATTTCCTCCCCTTACAGGAAAAGACCTTAGCAGGTAAGTACTGCTGCCTACATAATCTGTATCATAGGCTAGAAAAATGGTTCCAGAGAAAAGAGTGAAAACTACCGTGATAAAAGCAGTGAAATGCCAAAAAGTGGCGAGATTGGATGTAAACATGGATGAAAGAAAACTAAGGTTACTAAAATCTTTCTTTACATGTCGTGCAACATTGAGAAGTTGTCACCAGTAGAGAGGATAAGCATTGGACATAAATGACAAGTGGTTAACAGCGCAAATATCCGTCTTTTTGCCGTCTTCATCCAGTCATTTGCATTGTTGTGTGGAATTAGTTACAGTCTTTTAGATACGGTATACATTTTCCTAATGTTCCATCAGTTTAATGCAAAGTTTACAATAAAGGTGTGGAATTGTATAGGATTTAATTCTTGTAGTTTTCTGTTCGCATGAACGTCATGCTCAAATTCGTGATTCACGCTAACCTGATTAAGCTTCTTTCGATAGATCAAAATTCCCCATAAAAGCGAGGTTTAGAGAAACTGGAAGGGGATATTTCTTAATTCCCTTTGTTGGTGTCCTCTTAGCCTCGCTTTCAAGGTGAATTTTGATGTATTTAAAGAAACATCGAATATCTGGTTGATCCAGATGAAGTAAACAAAAAAAAAAATCTCGACAAAAACAACAACATTAAACAATCAGTTAAAACTTACCTTTATTGCATTTAAAATTGATCACAAGGCAACTCCTCAAATAACTTGCAGTTTGCAATCATTTGTCATGTGATAAAAAAATTAAATGAAATATTGGCCAATTGTATTAATAACGGCTGTCTAGACATCTTAGATAATAATCTTCCAGGTTCCAGTACACATTGAATTATTTAAACGTACAATACCTTTTTTCATGTGACATACTATGCAATCTTTCTGCCATTGCTACAATCTATATCAATCTAAAGCAAATGCCACTAAAACAAATGTGCATGCGAAATTAATGTATATTTGCATGTACCTTTCAGAAATATACTCAGAGTAAAATTCAATTTAACAGAAAAAATTAGTGTGGGTAATTACAATCACCTTTCTGTTATTACTTTATTACACTAGCTTGGAAATAATGACATCATATGCGAGAGGGCATTCAATGAGGACAGTGGTTATAACATCATCGACTGACAACTACTCTCTACTTGACTCTGAAGATGACTTCCGCACAGGTTGTCAAAACGTCAGTCACCAACAACAGTTCTTTTCAGAACTACACTCACCCGGATGATCACACTATACGAACTTCTGATACTCCTGCATTCAAACCATTTACTTTATTTCTTAACTTAGTAAGGTGACTTTCCCTGCAGCCTTGCAACTTCTAACACAAATTAATGGGAAAATGATAAACCTCCGATACTAAGTAGAACTTTTAGAAGAAATTGGTCATTTGTTATCTCATCACCCTTGGAATAGTGATGCACATGACTACTGCATTTTTCCAAATATTAACCAAGTAACAGAGACTGGCTACATCAAAATGCCTACCTTGACATGAAACAACTGAAAGGTTGATGGTTTTTATGTCTATATTGTTTCCACAAACACTTACGAGAATCTTCTATAGGCCCATTTCCAGTCTAATGTATCAAATTTATAACGACAATTGATCACCACATGCACATGCATAAACTGTTCTTTCACCACAGCTTTGTCATCTTCCATTTCATCATCTACATCCACTTCAACATCTTGATTGTCCACAGTCAGTTTACCACCAACATCTGGAGCCTCTTCAGCACCTTCATCATCTGCAGTCCCTGTACCACCAACATCTACAGCTACTTCAACATCTGCAGCCGCTTCAACATCTGCAGCCGCTTCAACATCTGCATCCACAGTCATTTCACCACTAACATCAACAGCCACTTTAATATCTTTATCGTCCACAGTCAATAGATCCTTCCACGGTTTTAGCGGCCATATTGGTTGGGGGTCAAACAAAACCTCGTTGCTAGGCAACAAGTCCCAGAATCTCTTATGATAATAAGACGCGCATTGCTACCCGCATTAAATTTTCGCTTCGTTCAGGAACAAGAATAATTATCCATCACTAAGATAAGACATTGATAAAGGTGAGTGACCTTTTTTCTCTAGGCAAAAAACCTTTTATTCTCTGCGTTTTATGGGAATACTGGGATCGTTTTCTTAGAACGTGACCTTCGCAGCTGACATAATGCCAGAAGGTCACAGTACTGCTTTTTCGAAAGACTTTTTGCAACTTAATTGGGCAGAGGAAAAATTGAAATATATATGTTTACGTGCCCTTAAAACTTTTTCGTCCAGACAGGCTAACATACTATTGAAAAACAATTAACTCGGCAAAGAGAAACCCTTGGCTAAATGGGTTTTGGAGATAAGTGCTGTGTCGGCGGCTGTAACAATGACAGAAGATATCATGTTGTCATCTGCTCTAATCATTTTCGAGACGGGAAACTGTCTGTAAGCAACCCTATACCTACTCTTTTTTTGACTCCTTTTGAGCATTCAAATAGTAAGTCACCCAAAAAGTGGCGTCAATTAGAGTATCAAAAGGAGACTGCAACGTCAGCAGTAACTAAGTCAGTTGTACATGCTGGCCCTTCAGAGTTGACACCGGTTGATAATAGTGGTATACCTGCAAGTGATGAATTGATGAAAAGTGGAGACGATTCCTCGGGGTTAACACTGTGTACAGCCTTTGCACAAATAACCAGAGATGCTGATGTTCGACTCTATACTGGCATGCAAAATACAGATGCTTTCAGAACCTTATTTGAATATTTACTCCCTAAAGCTAAGAATATGAATTACTGGAAAGGGGATAAGCAAACTGAGGCAGAGAAGCCCAAAAGGTACTCTGATATGACCATGGATGAGTCCCCAAATGTCAGGAAACCTGGCCCCCAAAGGAAACTAAAACTTGAGCAGGAACTTTTACTGATAATGATGAGGCTTCACTTAGCTTTGTCTGTTGGGGATCTGGCATTCCGATTTGCAATATCAGACTCTCTTGTCAGTTCAATTTTTATCTCCTGGGTAAAGCTAATGAAATGTGAGCTCTCATGGCTTATCAAGTGGCCCTCTAAGGAGCAGACAAAGAAAGTGCTACCAAAGTGCTTCGAAAAATACTACTCTAAAGTTCGGTGCATTATTGACTGTTCAGAAGTATTCATCGAAACACCATCAAGCTTAGAGCTACAGGCTATTTGTTGGTCAGACTATAAACACCATTGCACTTTTAAGTTTTTGATTGGAATAACTCCAAATGGATTAATTTCTTTTGTGTCTGATTGCTATGGGGGTAGAGCATCAGACAAATTTATTGTCATGGACAGTAGGTTCATGAACCACCTTGAGCCATTTGACCAAGTTATGGCAGACAGAGGCTTTAAGATTCGTGATGACTTGGCCATGTATCAGGCTACCTTGGCCATTCCCCCTACAATTCCCCCCTGGGCAACTTCCAAATGCCATCACGAGATGTGTTAGAAACATCAAGGTTGGCAAATGTGCGCATTTATGTAGAGCAGGCAATAGGTAGGGTCAAACACTTCAAGATTTTAAGTCATATAATGCCAATGAGCTGCCTTCCTTTGTGTGATGACATCCTCATTACATGTTGTAGCCTATGCAATCTTCTTCCTCCCCTATGTGAGTAATAAATATTTTCAAGAGAACCAAAAATACTACTGCCTGTATTCTTCCTAGACAGTCTTGCAGTGATATGAAAGTTGAAAACTGTTATGCTCATTCACTGCATGTAAAGTAAGCAGAGAGCTGTTCAGTCGCTAAGAAATATCCACCATAACTTTTAGATACCTTTATAATATAAAAAAATTCAAAAAGGACTAGAGCTATAGTACTGATATCTGTCTTACATATTAAATGACACTGATTGATTTATTCAATTAAGCTGTCTGCAAGAGAAGCATAGCCAGTGAAGTTCTTCTGGATCAATAGTGAGGTCTTCACATTCCCAGTGATACCACAGTGCACACTGATCACAGCATACACTATTTTCACCATCCTTCTCAGGTTCCAAGCACAGGCATTCACATTTTGGACAGTAAAAGATACCTACCAAGCCCAGCAAAACCTTAACAACATAGCCTTTGTAAAAGAAAACTAAATTCTGCTCAACTGTTTGATAAAAAATCTCATCTCGCTGAACTTCTTCCACTAAAGGGTCACCTACTTGTGTCCACACAACAAAATACCCCTTAGAGCAGTTTGATAGGACAATTTCCCCTTGTAATTGGGTGTAGTACTTATGTCCTTTGTTCAGACATACTTTACCACTATCCATCTGTAAAAACTCAGTTTGATTCCAGGCATCAAGAACCCTTTCACCTTTAATGCTGTATGGACATTTGCATTCAACAACAAATGTTCCACAGCAATCACAGGTGCCAATAGCATCAGGACTTGCTCCAATGTAAGGGAGATCCCTTCTTACAAATAAGCCAGCCTCAAAAATCTGCATGTTGGTATGCTTAGGTCCCTCTGTTGTTCCCAAGGTCTAAAGCTGGCCATGTTGTCATATCGTTTCTCCATTCATCCTCTGCAATATGCCTGGGGTCTCTAGGAAGACTCTTAATTCGTTGTTGGTACTCGACTGTGAGTCTCAACCTCAACTCCTCGTCGGATACCACAACCCGAACATTACATTCACTAGCAGAAAAGGCTCTGGTGACAAGCTCTCTTTTTTTACCAGTTACACTTAACCCCCTTAAACTTAGGTAATCTTTTAGTTCACCCAAGCTTTTCTGGAGGAAATTTTCGTAAAGATCTTCTGGATTTACAGTAGAGGGCTCTTTCAGAACACGCGTAGCCATGGTTCGAAATAAAAACAACTATTGAGCTTGAAAACACCTAAAGTACAAAAACCAAAACCAAAATTTTAAGTACGTTGTAATGCTACCACCGTAAAGCCTAAAATTTAAAGCCACACAATATCAATGGCTAAAAAATATATTCTAATTTCTCAACCAAAAGAGGTGCTTTTTAAAATGCGATTTTCGCATCATAGCCGCCGCGAAGTCAACTTCGAACAACATATCAATCGGCCCATAAAACGCAGAGATAAAACGGTATTTCGCCAAGAAATTCGGCACTTCCTTTCAGTAACACCTTATCTTTGTTCCCACTAGATTTGGAGACGAAAATAAGCAATTTTCCTTCAATAAAGATATTGAGCGAAGGTACCGAAGCACGTCTAATAATTACAAAAGAATCTATCGCTTGTTGCCCAGCAACGAGGTTTTGTTTGACCCCCAAACAATATGGCCGCTATAAACCGTGGAAGGATCTATTTACCACCAACATCCACAGCTACTTCAACATCTTTACCATCCACATCTAGAACTACTTCAACATCTTTATCATCCATAGCACCTGTACCAGCAACAACTACAGCCACTTCAACATCGTCATCAGTCATTTTACCACCATCTTTGTCACGTTGCTGTACAAGGAACGCTTTAGAACATTATAGGACCTTTTGTTTTCTTAAAATGTAGCCTCGTTTCGTTTTGATTGCGTGATTATAAAATATCCTTTTTTGGCTAACCACACAAACAGTTATTTCAGTTTAGTTTCCTTTACGTCATAGAAGTATATTAGGCCTTTTTTCATGCGAACATTTTAGTTTTTAAGGAGTTTCCCTGTACCAAAGAGGATTTTTATAGGAGTCTTTTGGATTTTTTTGGCAACTTGAAGTTTTCTCATCCCGAGAGTTTAGTTAGTTTTAGTTTTTACCGCAAGTGTTGTAACAAGTAGGCTACCCTGATTACATGATTTAGTCCAATAAACATGTGTAAGAGTCTGCTGTCTGTCCAATACTTCACTGTGATTGACCTGGCGGACAAAGATAATCTTTATCATCCACAGTCAATTTACCATCGACATCTACAGCCACTTCAACATCTTCACGATCCACAGTCACTTTGCCACCAACATCAACAGCCACTTCAACATCTCCAGCATCGGTATCCGATCGTTTCGCGTATGGGTCGTTTCGCCCACGGTCTGTTCGCCTATGAATAGAGTCGATTCGCCTACGTCTTATATGTCAGTTCGCCTACGAGTCAGATGTTGAAGCTTTAAATTGGAATTATTAAAAGTCTTTGTTCCTTCTATTATTCCTTCCATTCTATCCTCGATGGCTAGAAAAACAACGCGCTAAAACATCTAAGTGCGAATGTTTTTAAAAACTTTATTATGGCGGAACCCGGTTGTCTACGAATGTGTGAAAGATATTTTGCTTAAAATGATTTAAGAAACGTGCGATTGTAAACCTGAGCATTAAGATGTGTATTTAAATGAAATTAACCACCGTTTACGGTCTTTGTGTGGTCGTGTAAAGTGTGAGCAGAGCAGTAAACAAACCACTGTTTATGGTCTTTGTGTAGACATGTGCAGCGTGAGCGGCGCCTAAACTAAAGAAGGTGAGACTTTTCATGAACATATACGAAATTAGCTTCGGCTTGACTTGACAGTCGGTTCAATTTCTGCGTCAATTTGGCGGGCAACTCATTGAATCTTTTATCTCTATAAACTAGTTTATGTATGTAATGTGTCCGGGTATTC